TTTAAGGTAATAAAAGGCCTAGATAAAAGCATTTGATATATAAATTAAAATATATAATCCCTTTTAGAACTTGCTTATATTTATATAGGTAAATTTTAAGCACTGACAATATTTTAGTTGATCTTTATTTTGTAGTTTAAGCTGCTCCTAAAAGCCTTTGGAAAGCATCCCCGAGTTTACACTTTCTCGGCTTAAAAATCGGGTGCAAAATTATAAGCGCCTTCGCGTATTTAGCTTCACCAACAAAAAATCAACAACAGTTTGTAAACATAAATCTGCAATACACAATACACACACACACCACACACACAGAGAGAAAAGTATGCAAACACACTCCCACACTCATTGCCATTTACTTGTACAAAAGCTTAAGTGGCAAAAGTTGTGCAAAAGGCTTACGAACTCCTCCTCCTCCTCGAGCTTTCAGACAGAAACGCGCCCCAAATAAAGGAGCTCCAGTTGGCGAGTTGCATGCCACATTAAAAATTTAACATTTCAGCATAAATAAATAAATGGTAGCAGAAAGTTGAAATAGCAGCAACAACGTCCACCTCCATCAGCTGGCGGCAAATCAAAAACTTCAGACCAAGCTGTTCTTGTTGTTGTTGCTGTTGTTGCCTCGAGAAGTCGCGTTGCACTAAAAGCTTATAAATTATTGTCGAGCCCCAGTGCAAACAGCAACAATAAGGAGGAGTAAAGGATGTGGCTGGGGAAGGGGGAAGGAGTAAAATCAAAATGGCACTACAGCAGGAAAAGGACTAACTCGAGCGCTGTTAATTTTTTAACAGACCCTTCTAGTAGTCGTCGTCCGTCCTGACGTCACACAGTTCACATCAAGGACTTTCCAACCTGTCGCTTTCCCCCATTTTTTTCTTATTATTTTTTTTCTTTTTTTATAAATAGAAGAGCACAAAAAATGGCTGCAACAGTAGTCAACCTGCCACAGTTTGACATTCGTGATTTGTGAGCTCGACGAGGAAAATAAACTTTTACTTTCTGACAAGGGACAGTCGAAAATTTGGTGGCATTTAAATTGAATTAAATAATTTGAATAATGGAATTTTAAGCATGAAAGTGTTTGGAAATTTAAAACAAAATGCATATTTATGAAGAACATATTGGAATAATAGTAAAAATAACTTGGGATTTATATTTATCATTCAGGTTAAAAGTCAAATCAACTGCAAATTTGCTTAAAAGCAAATAAATACAATTAAATGAAATGCAATCCGAACGTCTTCAATTACCTGAACACATGTAGCATAGATGATGGTTTTCCACCAGGTTGCTCCCAACAACTTCACCTGTTTACTAGCTACCCCCCTTAGGTCCCCCCTTCAAATTGCGGCTATTTGTTGTTTGATTACAAGTCTGTCTTGTGGGTGCGATATAATATGAGGGGGAGGTAAGGTAAGGTAAGGGTAAGAGGCTGGGTGTACTGGCCAAGTTATTTGCATATATGTATGGGATGCATTTTGAGCAGCTGCTCGGATACACGTTTAATGTTGCCGTCAGTTGGGAAAGTTGTGATTTTTGTTGTCACCATGTGTGTGTGTGTGTGTTGTTGACATGCTAATAATGATGCATATTGGCATAAGATGCTTGAGAACGTACAGAGTCTGGAGTCTCTTTTAGCACCTACTGGCCGAAAGTTAAACAACGGGGCAACAGCAAATTAGCAGAAATGCAACAGCTTCAAACAGCAGCTAAAGTTGTAGTTGCTTCTTGTGTTTCTTAATACCGTGTATGAGGGTATATTGGACTAAGAGAAAGTACTATAATAATTATTGGAAGTTTGATAACAACTTTCTTTGAACAATCATTTAAGGTAATTCACCAAATCATAAATCACTTGAAATACTTTCATTAACATATGCCAAACTTTGAGACATTCAATTTATTATATCATTTATTGAACCAATTCAAAAATGATTAATATTCCATAGTAATTTCTTTGCATTTATCAGTAGAATCAATAGCTTACAAATTTTGTAATATTTCATGCACAATTACTATAAATATTTCATTTTAAAAGTGTTTAGATTTATTTGTAAGTGTATATCAAAAGCTAGACTAAGAAGTCAGGGCTTTATTTACCTGTAATTTCTAGAAACCATCGAATAATAGGTACATATAGGTAAAAGTGTCTAGGTTTAGTTGTTAATACTCTGCAAACTCTTAGTGCGTAACAGAGGTTAGACTGAGACAGTAATTACAAGCAACCACTGATTAAGAGGTATATCCCAGTCGAGTGATACCTGTTCTATGTTACCCATGTCTTGCTCCCGGGCTACACACAACTTCTTTTATGCTTTTATTGGACAAACAGACAAAAACGGCTGCAAACAATAACAACAACAACAGCGGGAACATGAGCTAAGATAACAGACAGCAGCAGCAGCAGCCCAGCGATTTCTTAACAGCGACTACGAAATGCATTTCCTGTTATTATTGCTCCCTCAGAACTCCCCAACACGTTAGTGGTGCATTATGAGTTTTTGCAGCTTGCTCTCTCTTTCTAACCGAATCTAGCTGTCTCTCTCCACTACACACACATGTGTGTGTGTGCGCGCATTGTTTGCTTAGGTGCATGCTTGCATGATTTCATCGCCGGCAGCACTTTTTCCTCTGTGTTCCTGTTGCTGTTTATTTACTTGAAAACTTCTTTTACATTTCTCTGCGGAGCTCTTTGCTTGCCGTGTATGCAAGCATAAATTTTCCAAACACACACACACACACGCACAACAAATGAAGAGCTCACACACATTCATACTCTATGCCAAATGAGTGTAATTAAGTGCTGAGGAAAAGTGTGTGTGATTATGTGGGAAATTTTACGAACAAACATATTTTGCATAGACTTTTTATTACATTTTCATTAATGATAATACTTGCTAAAAAATTCCCTCAATATTATATTAAGTACTATTTTCTTAGAAATATTTTTTCAGCAAGAGTTTATGTTATGGTTCCTTGTGATTGTGGTTTTTCCTTTCGTTTTTACATTTTCTGCACATTATTATGAGAAACTTTAATGTGCACGTGGAAAATGCTTGTGGAAAGCTCACACATTTTACCTGATTTCTGTTATTTTTACTCTAGGATATCGCTTTGCTTTCCAATGTGGTTTCGTTTGCTCTCTGACTGGGAATAGCAAAGAAAAAATTCAAAAATATTTATTTAACAGCAAAGGAAATTTGCTTAATTAAATATTTTATTTCGTCCTGCAGTTGTGGGTTTAAGCACTAAGCAAGAAAAAAAGGGATGTGGTCTTCGTGGCAGGTGTGCCCTTAATAACCCGTGCGTTGGCATGACATAAACTATGTATATTGAAGTATTTCATCATTTAAATTAGCACACAGCAGCATCAGCATCAGCAGCACAGGAGGTAGCCATGACGACGAACAAAGGGGGCAGGGACAAAGCCTTTGGACATGGCTAAAATCAGACAATGGCTCAAAGCTACACCAGCTCTCACCTTCTCTCACTTCAGTGCAAATACAACAAAAGGCTGCTGGCGCCGGGTGGCAATCACAAAGGTAGCAGCAGCAGCAACATCAAAAGCCAAGCACAACACAGCATTTGACAAATGTCCAAGTTGCAGTCCAAACTCGGTTCGTCCTTCGGTCTCTTTACCCTCTGTACCCTCTCCTTTTTTGTTGCTAAACACATTTGACAAATGTCATCGTTCATCGGCTGTTGCTGCTTCTGCTTCTGCTGCTCTTGGGCTGAAATAGAAATCACTGGATGCTGCTGATTCAGTGATTTCCCAGAGTGATAACAATGTCACGATGCCATTCGATTTGCATATTCGCATTGCCAGGGGTTCAGAGGTCATGCCTTGGGTGTCGAATTGCGAGCAGATCTCGTTACCTTGATGAATACAGAAGATGGCTAAATAGCAAGGTTGCATTTAAGTTAATTTAATTGAGAAGGGGTTTTGTTTTAAGTTCTTAAAATCTATGAAAAATTAATACTTTAATAATGCACTCATTATTTAAAATGAATCTAACTAATAACTTGATTTATTGTATAGACTTTACGCTAACATATCTCTCAAAATTTTACTTCCACAAAGCCAGGAGAACCTTTTGTGATATGAATTCCCTACAATTCCAAACAGTGATATATTTGAGCATCTCTATCACTGTCTGCTTTGGCTTTCCAGTGCCTTCCTCCTCCTTCCTCTCCTGTGCCGGGAGCTCTCATTACTATCCGCTTTCAATAAATCTGGAAAACTTAATTTCCGGCTGAATGATGTTACTAACCAAAGGCATCCCATCTCTGTCCAGCGATTTACATCCTCCTTCTCTCTCTCTCTCTCTCTTTGGCCAGACACACACACATTTTTCACCTTTAAGCGCTTTTTGTAATTACATTTCAGTTGTTTCCCAACTGTTCGCACTGCCATTCCCATTGCTTTCTCTGGAAATCTCTCTTTGCTTTGGCTCTGGCTCCGCTGTTGCTTTTAATAAAGTTTATCTAGCGATGTCCTTTGTTTCATCCTTATCGACATGCGCTAAATTTATGTTTAGTCCTTGGTCCTTGCTCGCGTCTCTGCCTTTGTGCGCGAAGCCGTGGGCGGGCAAATATTTTCATGAAGTTAATTGAATTTGAGAGGAGCAGCCGCCCCAAGTGGAATTTCGTTGCTGTTTAACATAATTTCTGCCTGGATTTCCCTACCGCGGGGGTCCTTCTCCTGCACCAGACTACTTAATGGCCTCTTAATTGCCGCCTGCATTAAGTGACAAAACTTGTTTAGCCGTCAAAGATGAATTTCGGTTTTAGGCAGGTCCCCAGAGACGATCATGTGAGTTGTCTCTGTGTGTGTGGGATGAAGGATCTCTTTCCGTTCCTCCTCCTTTTTTTACCAAACTGAAATAGAACACGCACTCAAGTGGCTGTGTACAGTGTAGGGTTACGTTTGCCCCATAAGATGAATAAGAATACACCGCAAAATGAATGAATATAAATAAACGTTTCCTTTGCTCTCGTTCCAGGTGAAAATCCACGCATCATCGAACATCCCATGGACACGACGGTGCCAAAAAATGATCCATTTACGTTTAATTGCCAAGCCGAGGGCAATCCAACACCAAGCATACAATGGTTTAAGGACGGACGCGAACTGAAGACGGATACGGGCTCGCATCGCATAATGCTGCCCGCCGGTGGTTTATTCTTTCTCAAGGTACACATCATAGCCAATCAACTCATTCCGATTCCAACTCCATCATTATGGGTTTTACAGCTGTCGATGAGGACGGAGGCGCAGAACTCCTTTATTTGGGTTCCCAGGCCCAGGAGTTCTTCGCCTCCTGCGCCTCATGTGAAACGCAACATTTGTGCATATTTCGTATCTTCCTTTTTTCGGCTTGGCCATATTATTTTATGGCCTTCCGTCTGGGTGCATTTTAGTTGATAGGGAAAACAACCTGATGAACAAACAAAAGATGTTGTTTGGGGGTTAGACCTCCAAGCAACAACCCCTATATCATTTCGTGCGTGCACATTTCGCAATTTCAGCTAACGAGACTCCTCGAAATCCCCAAACTCCATCGAAGAAAGGGGTGTGTATGTCTCCCATCCGACATTGCAATATCCTCGGACTCTGTTTATATTAAATTCCTGGTCGCTTTTTCCTTTCCAACTCCCTGTTATTTTCATTAAATGCAACAAATTCGCTCCGTTTTGTTATTGTTTTTGCCGCAAATTATTAATGGCTCAGTGAGCCCTGGATTTGTGTTTTAAATTTAAAATGAAATGTTAAAAAATATAGAAATAAAGGCAGGGTGGCGGTGGCCAGACACTCTTAAGTCATTCCACACGAATTTTCAAGTTGAGCCCCACGGGGCAGAAGCTCAAGTCCAACAATTTACTTTTATTATTGTCCATAACAATTTCTTCTCCAATTTGTATGAATTTTATTCTTTTTTTCGAGGTCCGCCTTTGGGCGGGGAGGGGTAAGTCAACCCCATCCAAGGGCGATACTCGGTTTGTTGCCAATTAAAACTGAAGTGGCCAAGTGATTAAGGCCCAGGCAGAGACTCATGCAGAGGATGCTACCCCTTGGGCTTGAATGTATTTTTTAATTAAATTAAATTGCGTATACGCAGGCTGGACAAGCAGCGAGTAGAGGGGTCCAACCATGGCACGTTTCCCTTTTATTTGATTTCGGATGAGCAATTTTGAGACTTTTTGATCTGACACGTGACCCGGCCTAAGCTGTCCGAAAAACTACTTAAATCTTTTAACTCCTGTATCTAATAATCTCTCTCGTTTTACCCACAAACCCCGTCCTCCTCCTTCCAGGTCATCCACTCACGTAGAGAGAGCGATGCGGGCACCTATTGGTGCCAGGCCAAAAACGAGTTTGGAGTGGCTCGCTCCAGAAATGCAACGTTGCAAGTGGCATGTAAGTATCACCATATTTGGCTTAAATGGTATTTACTTTTATATTTAACCATTAATAAAAAAGAGCTTAATTGATTCAATTTTTATATATAAATGTGAGTTAAGGGCAGTACAAATTGTATTACTTTTTGATTGATTCTATCATTATGAGGAAGTACCTAACACTGATTCAATTTCTTAACTAAATGAGAGTTTAAGAGACTAAAAATTGTATTTCCTAACATATTTTCTTATTTAGATACTGTATAAAGATGAAATGCTTTCCATTTTATTTTAAATGTGCAATCCAGTCAAGGATACGACATTGATCGATTGGTCCAGCGGCAAAATATTCTCTGCTAATTGGAGGGTTGCATTTTGTGAAATTAACCCCAAGCTGGGAAGCTGCAGTTCCCCCCAAGTTCTCGATTTCACTGTCCGGTTGTTCTTCTAATTAATAAAATAACGAGAAATTTCATGAATCCTCTGACTCTGTAATCGATAGCCAGCTCATGAGAGGTTCCCAGATTTGAGTTGGTATTAATTAATCTGGCGTAGCATAAAGGATTCACATTTCAGCAACGCTTAAAGCCATAAAAACTTGACCGTTTCACTGGCATCATATCCTACTTACGTACAAATGTATGCTGCCTGATAACCGAGTTGGCAAAGAGAAGTCAGCAGCTCTGTTCGTTTTTATTTCGGTGCCTTTGGCGTTCAGTGGAGCGCATTATGCGTTTATTGAAGTGCATTTTGCATTTCGCATTTTACATTTTGTGTACACCGGGCATTTTGCATTTTCGCTCCATAAAAAGTGAAGCGAAGGAGATGCGAGAGATGGCGGGCGAATAAATAAAAATAAGCATTGCAAATGCCAAAGCTTATTAATATTTCCGTTGGCCGTGTCCGAGGAGAGAGTTGTCCGTTCAAAGCCTTAAACCTGGGCATCATTACCGAGCTTTTATTGGCATATTGAAGCACGGCTAGCAGGGATACCAAGGATAGCTGGTATAGAAGCAGGTCGACGGTCCTGGGGCCCGGCACTGGCTTATAAAATATGAAGGAGTATAGCTCAAGCCGGGCAAAGTGGACGTCGCCTGTACACCTGACAGTTATTAATATTGAATCAATCAAAGCTCTTACTGCGGGCCATTTCCCCCATCTCATTCCCGCTGACATTTCTCACCGTTTCTCCCGCCAGTTCTACGCGACGAATTCCGTTTGGAGCCGGCAAATACCCGGGTGGCCCAGGGCGAAGTGGCCCTGATGGAATGCGGTGCCCCCGAGGATCCCCAGATCCGCAAATCTCGTGGCGCAAAAATGGACAGACCCTGAATCTGGTTGGAAACAAGCGCATTCGCATTGTCGATGGCGGCAATCTGGCCATCCAGGATGCCCGCCAGTCCGACGATGGACGGTATCAATGTGTGGTCAAGAATGTCGTTGGCATCAGGGAATCGGCAACCGCTTTTCTCAAAGTGCATGGTAAGTAAACGAGTGAAAATTCTTACCAAATGTATGTTTTAGTTGCAATCTGTAATCTTTTCTTAGCATCAAGAACACCCTTTTCTATTAACACCCTTTTCTATTAAAAAGACACCACTTGAATTTAAAATCTGCTAAAAAGACTGTGTTCAAAATATGTTATTTTACAGACTTTTAAATGTGTATTTTGCATACTTTCAAGCTACATTTTCTTAGATTTAGAACCTAAATCAATTTATATGTATTTTCCAATATGATATATATATTTTTATTCCAGTTCGCCCCTTCCTAATCCGTGGACCCCAGAATCAGACGGCTGTCGTGGGCAGCTCAGTGGTTTTCCAGTGTCGCATCGGTGGCGATCCCCTGCCCGATGTCTTGTGGCGACGCACTGCCTCTGGCGGCAATATGCCACTGCGTAAGTTTTTCTCGGCTACGTCATTCAGCTTCAATTAACCGGAAATGCCCGGGCAGCCATGTTGCCGCCGTTAGTGGCTCTCTTACTAAAGGCAGTTACTCACACATTCAGAGGCCGCAATTTCAAATGAAATTAAAGCCCTTTGTTTACTCATGGCTCAAGTTGTGTCGAGAGGGTCCGTTACACATATATAGCTCAGGGAAAAAATAAAGAAAACAAAACAAAAAGTTAGTTTATGCGGTTGCTTTGGCCGGTGGCTTTTCGTGTTGCCAATTGGCAGTGTTTTACGAAATGCACTGGGAAATATTTACTCAGGTTATATTAAAAAGGATAAAGATTATTCATAAAGATTATTTCATTACAAAGCACTCTATTAATTAATCAATTTTCATCAATAAACAATTCAGTTTCTCTGATCCTTTAATGTACAAATCTGTTCAAGGATTTGCAAAGCATGTTCTCTTTACAATTTTTTAAAAATGGATTAAACTCTAACAAAACTAAATTAAATATTTATACTATTTGCTAGAAACTATTCCTAAACACTTTATGGCATTTCAAAAAATAAAATTTTTGCAGTGAAGAAAACACCTCGAAAACATTCCCACATCTCCCCACCAATTCCGCTTGTTGTTGTTAGTTTTGGGTGGGGCGGTTTGCGGGCACACCCCCCGTTATACTTACCACCCCCAAAGAGTCGACCTCTTGCCACGCCCCCTTAGACCGCCCTAGCTGGGCAAACACAACTGTAACTTTTAATTCCGTTAATTGCCAATCTCTGTTGGCAGCAATCAACAATTTTGCTTGCACAACACTCGACTGTTGCAATGTTGTCCTTCAGACAGAGTCAGAGTCTGTTGGCAACCCCGGGGGAAGTGCAACTAACCCCTCCACTCGGGTAGCCATCCCCTGTCCAGTTTACGCTTCTTTAAAGACCTCAAAGAAAATAGTAGCAGCAGCAGAAAAGATTCCACCGGAGAGCCAGAGCTAGAGCTGGCTACCTCGGTTGTTGTCCTAAACTTTTGTTAAGCAAACAACTGGCACAGTGGCCAGGTGGAGGTGAGCAGGGGATAAGGTGGTGTAGCTGTGGCACCCACATTTAAAACCTATTTCGCAGTCAACCAACCAAAAAGAAAGCACAGGCTCTCCCCCGACCGTTGTCTTTTCTTTCTGTTTATTGTGAGGAAAAACCACAAAAGGGGCTCCTCCTGGGAAAGAAAGCGGCGGAAGGCGAGGTACTTTTGTATGTTGTAGTCGTATCTTGTCTTGGCTTACTTTGCTGCGGTTATTTGGCTCTCCGGCTGCGGAGAATACGGCTTGGCCATTTTTACGCCACTTGAACTACTAACGAAGTAGAAGCAGAACCCAGAACCCAGAACTCGGAACCCAGAAGCTCAGAAACACAGGGACAGACAGCCACAAAGTTTGTTTTTCTTTCGAATGGAGTCGAGGAGTCTGGGCGGGATAGAGAAGCCTCCCCTCCCACACCCACACACACACATGAGATTCATTTCCCCTATTTCTACGTTGATTCGACAGGTCGTGTGCACGTACTTGAGGACCGGAGTCTCAAGCTGGACGACGTCACGCTGGAGGACATGGGCGAGTACAGTTGCGAGGCGGACAATGCGGTGGGCGGCATCACGGCCACGGGCATCCTCACCGTTCACGGTAAGTTAATTGCCTGAAAGCAGCGCAAACTGCTCAAGGAGTGCACTGGCAGAAACCTCTTGAAATAGCAAATATAATATATAACATTCTCCGTGCAATATTTCCCCCAGTGCTAACATTCCCCCTGCTTCTTGTTTCAGCACCCCCCAAATTTGTGATTCGCCCCAAGAATCAACTGGTGGAGATCGGTGATGAAGTACTATTCGAATGCCAAGCGAATGGACACCCCAGGCCAACCCTCTACTGGTCGGTGGAGGGCAATAGCTCCCTGCTCCTGCCCGGCTATCGGGATGGACGCATGGAAGTTACCCTCACGCCCGAGGGTCGCTCAGTGCTATCGATAGCTCGATTTGCCCGCGAGGATTCTGGGAAGGTGGTCACCTGCAATGCCCTGAACGCCGTGGGCAGTGTCAGCAGCAGGACTGTGGTCAGTGTGGATACACAATTCGAGCTACCGCCGCCCATTATCGAACAGGGTCCGGTGAATCAGACGTTGCCCGTAAAGTCAATTGTGGTGCTGCCTTGCCGGACACTGGGCACGCCGGTGCCACAAGTCTCTTGGTACCTGGACGGCATACCCATCGATGTGCAGGAGCACGAGCGCAGGAATCTATCGGAGGCTGGTGCTCTGACCATTTCCGATCTTCAGCGGCACGAGGACGAGGGCCTTTACACCTGTGTGGCCAGTAATCGGAATGGGAAATCCTCCTGGAGCGGCTACCTGCGCCTGGACACGCCCACCAATCCGAATATTAAATTCTACCGAGCTGCGGAACTTTCCACCTATCCAGGGCCCCCGGGGAAACCGCAGATGGTGGAGAAGGGTGAGAGCTCAGTGACGCTCAGCTGGACGAGGAGCAACAAAGTGGGTGGCTCCAGCCTCGTGGGCTACGTAATCGAGATGTTTGGCAAAAACGAAACGGACGGATGGGTGGCTGTGGGCACCAGGGTGCAGAACACGACATTTACCCAAACTGGCTTGCTGCCGGGTGTAAATTACTTCTTCCTGATCCGAGCGGAGAACTCCCATGGCCTCTCATTGCCCAGTCCCATGTCGGAACCCATAACGGTGGGAACGGTAAGTTGAAAAAGAGACTTTACACCAAATATATATTATTTATTTATAATACGTATTATATTTTCCTATTACAGCGATACTTCAACAGTGGCCTGGACTTGAGCGAGGCTCGTGCCAGCCTCCTGTCCGGAGATGTTGTGGAGTTGAGCAACGCCAGTGTGGTGGACTCCACCAGCATGAAGCTCACCTGGCAGGTAAGTAATCGAGGTCCCCTCTCATCCCATTGCTCATCGTCACCTCATGCGCCGCTTGCCTTATTCATGCAGATCATCAATGGCAAATACGTCGAGGGCTTCTATGTCTACGCTAGACAGTTGCCAAATCCAATAGTCAACAATCCGGCGCCTGTTACGGCCAATACGAATCCGTTGCTGGGCTCCGCGTCCGCCTCGGCATCCGCATTGATTTCGACAAAACCAAATATTGCCGCTGCCGGCAAACGTGACGGGGAGACCATCCAGGGCGGAGGAGCTACACCATCGTCCTCATCATCCCCGGCCGCACTGAGCACCAAATACCGCATGCTGACGATACTGAATGGAGGTGGAGCCTCATCCTGCACCATCACCGGTCTCGTCCAGTACACGCTGTATGAATTTTTCATTGTGCCATTTTACAAATCCGTCGAGGGCAAGCCGTCGAATTCGCGCATCGCCCGCACCCTTGAAGATGGTGAGTTGAACAACATTTAAGGGATACACAGAGGGTTCTTACACTGATTTTAAGTCACTTTGATATGGGGAATTCGGTTATTTGAAATTGTAAACACTCGTACTGACGAATGACAGTGAGCACTCGCTAAGGAAATCATGGATAAACTTTATATATTATTAGACAGAAGAAGTTTAAATAGTAATGAGTACTGCTAGCTTACGAGTTAGAAGGATATAAGAACTCCTAAATATGAAAATATGTACAATTAAAAATTAATTAAGTTGGAATAGTTATCAAAACTAAGGACTTCGGAAAATCCATCTTTCGATTGCTATCTTTGCAGTCGGATTTATGAAATTTCATTTCCAACTACATATATACACTGTTCGTTCGTACTGTCACTCAGGATTTATATCCAATTGTCTGCACTGTAGTCGCGATACCTTCTCCCGCCCTATCTAATGAAGCATGTGCATCAAATCCAGCGCAATCCAACTAACCGTAAAAATACCTTTACAACAAACTACCCCTTGTGTGTAAGCAACCCCCAAACCCAAACCCAAACCCCAAGCCCATGAGCCTCATGTGACAAATGCAGAAGGCGGGTTACAGGGCACTTTTTGCATTGCAACAATAACCTAAATTCAATAAAAGGATATGAGCGGTAAAAGGAAAATGTCAGAACATAAAGGCAGGAGAGGGAGGGAGGTATCCTTTATCCTTGGCGGACATCAGCTGCGCTCAATGCGGGTCGCATAATCGCAAATTATTTTTTGCCTGGGTCGCATAAGCGAAAGCAAAAAAGGGCGTAGGCAGCTCGGTAGGATTTTTGGTTACTTATTTTTTTAGGGGGTCACGTTATAGGGCGAATAATGGAAAGTATGTATGTCAATCACTGAGCACCGACAAGAGGCGAATCATGCGTACTTAAATGGCGAACAATGTCGACAGCGATATCCCGGCAGCAAGGTAAGGATGTCAAATCCACGTGGATAACATTTCCAGTTGGGGAATCAAAAAAAAAAGAGTTTCAAATCAAATGCGGTTTGTGTGCGGAATACTTAATGTTGGCGCTTTACATGTGTTGTATTCCGGGAGCGGTTAAGGGATTCCCCGCAGCGGATCCACAGGATTAGGCCATCCGAAAATATCATTGACAGGCGGGGAGTATGTCAGATAAGATTGTTTTAAACGGAAACGGAAAACTTGCTGCCAGCCAGGAAAAATGCAAACTCGACGGGAAAAAAGAAAGGAAGGAAACTTTCCAGACAGGTTTATCACTTCATTCCATCACCGGTGAAGCTGTTGAGATATAAAAACTTCCGGCAGCAGCAGCACCGAAAGTGCAGCGAGAAGTGAACAAGTCTCAATGAGAAAAGGACCCCAAAAAGGACCAAAATTAAAAAGAAAATAATTAAAAAACAAAAGCCACGCTAAGCTTTTGGCTGCAAAGGGTAAACACTGGGAGAAGGAGACCTCTCACAGTGCCTCAAATAAGTCAACAGACGCAGCAGCAACCGCAGCAATATAAAATGCACAAACGTTGCGCCAAAGCCAACACTCTCCGCCGGTCCAGGGCCACCTGCGCGTCCCTTCCTGCTCCTCGTCCTGCTGTCGTCAAATCAAAACTCATTTCGTATGCATCACATTTTCACTTGAGCGTCGTCTGACTTTTGCTGACAACAACATTCAAAGCAACATTACTGCTCCTCGGCAGTGGGAGCAACTCAAAGACATTGCCAACGCAATTGTGTAAAGATAAACAACAATTATTGCTGCTATATGAAGCACTCAGTACCTGCTCCTCAGCCCCTACAGTGAGCCACAAAAATGTGCAGTGCTGGCAATGCAAATTTGATGCGCGTTTGCCTTAAACGGGGAGTAAAGGGAGTTCCAGGGAAACCCAGGGAGTTCCAGGGAGTCCTTTTCCCCGGCGACAGGAAACATTTTTACCCACGTCGGAAGTTGGCAAATAAAGGTGTGCTGTTCCGGGTAAAAGTTAGAGGGAATACTCTATAGTTTAAACAGGGATTCAACGACTGGGAAATGCTCTGCAGGAGCTTTTAAAGGTAAAGGTTTAAGGAAACCCTTGAAGAATTTAAAAAGGCAAGAAACTATACCCTGTGTAAGTTTCTTTCGCAATATGACAATATCCCTTTATTTTGCATATACAAAAGATAAAATTTATCATTGTCCGTTCCGTTCGCTGTCCGCTTAACAGAATTTCAATTTGATATATTGCACAACCACACAGAAATGCCAAATAAGGAGTGGTCACTTATCCCTTCAGTCACATGCAACCCAATCTGAGTCACTATCGAATTAACCCCGAAACGAGATGAGTCATATTTTTAGAACTGACTATCGAATAAAGCCTCCGTATCAGCATTTAGATAAGCTCTCGTTTGGTTCCAGCTGCACTCCAAGTGATCACATAGCCAATTTGGAGCTTTTCAATTGCTTGCCGGTGTGTGTCTGAGACAATTCCTGAATCTCGAGCGCCCGGGGGTCATTTTTGCCACACAATGGCAGCTACGTGTTAAGCATCGCGGTGTCTCATCAGCGGAAGAAAAGGCGAAGACGAAAGCCAGGACAACAGGAGGAGAAAGCACCAGGAGTAGAAAGTAAAGGGGTACAGGGAAGAAGACAAAAAAAACAGCACCCGCATAGACAAAAGCACGACAAGCACTTTAGCATGTCGCAATGTCCCCGAAGGAAGGGGTCCTGGAGGACACGAGAGGGTTTGGGTAACAACAAAGCCAAAAAAAGCACAGAAGAAGAACTGCACTCCACTTCACACTCCGCTAGAATCGCTAGACGTTGCCTATTTAGAGATTTCCCTCATTCTCCGCTTTGTTTTCCCGGTCTCCCACTTTTGTCTCGTTGAGAATTTTGCACGTGTGTGTTTATTTAAAGAAATTGCTTCACTCAGTCGCACACACAAAAAGGATACCCAGGCCTGGGGGTAGGGAAAAGGAATGAGGATAAAGTTGATAAGGGTTGCACTTTGGAAAATGCTGGAAAATTACTCCAAAATTGTAAAATTAAACTCAGCAAAATACAGTACTTCTAAAATTCAATGAAGATCGTTAGCTTGTTTATAAACTAAAGACAGATCGTTTATGATAGAGAATATAGTAAACTATTTTGAATAGCCTGTTGTTTTAGGTGTAGCCACTTGTAAAATGCTACAGCAGGAAATAAATAAACAAATGAAGAAGAGTTGCATGTACTATGAGTGAAGTGAGCTGCAACTGGGAGAAAGGAAAGGATTGCTTTGTTGCTATTCAACTTCCCCGTTTTTATACGCACTCAGGATGTGCAGGCAGGATGTGTCTGAGCCCCTAGAGTCAACACCCGGAACTAGTGGCCGGAGAGTTTGCAGGAGCTTTCCCCGAGCCTGATCCCACACACTAAATGCTAATTAATTACGGACACCAAATCTCATTAGAGCGGACGTCAGCTGGGTGACATCACGCACCACAATCAAAAAGCCATTTAACTTTGCTCCTCAATCTCTGCCCAGGCACGAATCCCAATCTAACCCGCACCAAATCGTTTTCCTTTCCAGTTCCCAATGAAGCGCCATATGGAATGGAGGCACTCCTGCTCAATTCCTCAGCGGTGTTCCTCAAATGGAAGGCACCCGAGCTCAAGGATCGGCATGGTGAGTTTAAAAGTTTAACCTTAACAAGTTTGATAGGAAAATCAAACGACAAATGTAAAGATTTTTAATTTAATTATATATATTATATTTTTTCAGGTGTTCTCTTGAACTATCACGTCATTGTGCGAGGCATTGACACCGCTCATAATTTCTCTAGAATTCTGACCAATGTCACTATCGATGCTGCTTCACCGACCTTGGTTTTGGCCAATCTCACCGAGGGCGTCATGTACACGGTGGGCGTGGCAGCGGGAAATAATGCCGGAATTGGTCCTTATTGTGTCCCAGCCACATTGCGTTTGGATCCCATCACAAAGCGCCTTGATCCGTTCATCAATCAGCGGTAAGTTTAAGGACCTGTAAGGCCTGTAGGTTTTTACTAGAAAATAATTTATATTTATACATTTTTGGTTTCGCGTCCCTTAGCTATCCCATCAATCAGGACCATGTTAACGATGTGCTGACACAGCCCTGGTTCATAATACTCCTGGGCGCCATCCTGGCCATCCTTATGCTGTCCTTTGGCGCAATGGTCTTTGTGAAGCGCAAGCACATGATGATGAAGCAGTCGGCCCTGAATACCATGCGTGGTAAGTACACTTACAAAAATAGTAATTGTATAAATTGCATTTCCTTGAATTTAATAGAGTAGCTAATTCTATAGTTTTAAAATAATATTTAAAGTGGAATTTATTTCTTTTACTGCACATAGTGTAGGGATACAGAGTTGGCTGAAGCCTCCGAGTTTTGCATCCGTTGCGAGCTGCTAGTTTCTGTTTCCTTCCTCGCCAGACACGCCACACACGCCACACACACCACACACACACACATTTGCATATATAAATAACGCTAATTTCCCATTGCTGGGCACAACAACAACAGGACAGAGGCTAAAATAAAAAGTCCAAAATAGGTGCGAATAAATATTTTAGCAGGCAGGGAAGCAGAGCACCAGGCACACACACACTCGAACATGCCACACACATAATAGAAATTAACATTTTGCACGTGACGGCGTCGACTTCCCCTAGTTCACTTCCGCTCGCCCTCCGGAATTCCTAGACTCCAACCCCCTAATGGCTGCCATTGCAATTATGCATTTAGTTTTGTGTGCATTATTAACCAACAAGTTGTGTGTGCCGGCCAGTTTGGTACCTACCTACCTACCAGTATATATAGCATATATATGGATAGGGACATGGAGAAGGGAGTGCTATGGGGACAGGCCTTGTGGTCTAATTGAAATTAGCAGCATTACGAGGTGAGCGGAAGGAGCAGTCAGTAGTCCTGGTGGCCTGTTGACTGGGGAATTGGGCATTTTGGCTTAGACGATTACCCCAAATGGTTGTCAAGGGGGTCAGGGAAATTGTGGAGATTTTTGGGCATACCTAACATTCGAAAAGGGAAAGAGAAATTAAATAGAAATGGAAAGTTAAATGAAATCAGATAGGCTTAACTTAAAGTGATATACTGCGACTACTTTAATCCTTAAATATTGTCAGGGAAGCAACACATTGTGCTGTCACAACTCAGTGCTCAACAATTGCGCAGACAAGTCAAAGCCAAAAAATCCAAATGGCCTGAAAAAAGGCAACAAAAAAGCGTTGCATATTCATGGGCGCCATTTACCATAAACTAAGCAGCAGGAAGGGAGCAACAAAAGAACAAAAATGGGAACAGGGGTTCAGGGTTCAGAAATACCTGCAACCAACTGAACAAAAAAATGCAAAAATATACGAGAACTGTAGACGGGAGGTGGCAGGCTATAAAACACTTGCTTGATGCTCAGTTATAACCCGGGGACAGTTTAATTGGTTGCATTTTTTATGCAGCCCATTCTGTTGCAGTTGCAGTTGCAGTTGCTGCTGTTGCTGTGCTGATGTGTTTTGTGAGCAGGCAATGCAACTGGAAAATTGACAATAATTTATTTGATTTGGCTGCCGCAGAGACTGGGGAAAATTTCATCCGCGACTTTGCTGGATGGGGATAATATTGTTTTAATGCGTTCAATTTATAGAAGCGGGGAAATTTTTCGATTCCGACTATGAAATTGGTTGTTGAAATCTGAAATTATTTAACAGAATTATTTATATGAGCCATTTGTGATCACATTACTGATACCTTTAACTTTTCACTAAGGACTTCATTAAATCTATCATATACAATCATGTCGCATGATTTAAACGTGGGAATATCTAGGGCACATTTACAACCACTTTAGCTACATTTACAATAAATCGACATTTTTAATGTATTTTAATACTATTAACTTAAGAACAAATGTATATATATTATGTATACCATACAAAAATCTCTTGGATTTTATCCAGCGATTCCCTTTGCGGGAACACCCAAGCTGTCTAGGCTGCTCTTTTGTATGTTTTTGTTTAATTTCCGGAATGCAATTTATTCGGCTCACAATTTGTTGCACCACATTTAATTGCTCTGACTGACTGTCTACCATTTTGGCCCCTTCCCCATCTCACCTGCAGGCAATCACACGAACGACGTGCTCAAAATGCCGAACCTATCGACTCGCAATGGGAATGGCTACTGGCTGGACTCCTCCACCGGCGGAATGGTGTGGCGTCCCTCGCCCAGCGGCGACTCACTGGAGATGCAAAAGGATCACATAGCGGACTATGCGCCTGTGTGCGGTGCCCCGGGCTCACCCGCCGGCGGTGGTGCTGGTTCCGGTGGCTCCGGCGGTGCGGGCAGCGGTGCCAGCGGCGTCGATGACATTCATGGAGGACACGGCAGTGAACGCAATCAGCAGCGGTAAGTTTTACTCCGAAAAAAAAAAAAAACTCAATCCAACAACAATAAGTGGTGGAAGATAGGAGATTGTTAAAATATAAACTCAGTTTGTAATGCTCTTAAAGAAATACTCGTAGTTTGAAAAAGGAAATATATCAATAAGTTGCTTTTGAAAGCAATTTAATATTTCAATTGTAAAAATTTTGTTAAAATTCATAAATTAACTTATTCTTGAGTACTTCCTTTAATTAGTTCTCTTGTTTGTGCTCATTTAGTCATGAATAATCAACAATATTTAGTTTGTAAAACCACCTTCCAAGGTAGAGTATAGAGTATTCTTACAACCTGGCAGCTCAAAGCGACGACAATAAAAATTCACCAAACTGTGAAATTGCATTTTTCTGCCGCGGCGACTACCAAAAAAAGAAACGAAAATTCTGAAAACGTAAAAAAGGGAAAACTCAAAAAGGGAAACACACCAAAAAGCTCACTTTTCGGACGAGTTTTTCTTTCGCTCTCCCCTGGGCCATAGGCAAAATCAAGTTAGGAATAGAAATGTTGGCCACGCTATTTATGTTGATTTTTGGCCACTGCCCAGTTGAGTTTGAGCCACAAAAAAAGGGTAATGCAATTACCAATGGCTCAGAGGGTCGGCTTTAAGGCAGCTTTAAGTCGATTTGGAAAAAAGGGTTTCAGGGCTGCAATAAAATATGCTATGCATAATTTTGGCCACACATTTGCAATTAGTTTTGCGGTAGATGGCAAATCAAAGCTAAATCCATTTAGCGGGCAGAATCTGGCCTAAAGCGATCTAATTTATATGTCTGGCCCCTGGCAAGTGCAGGAGAGCCAGCAAATGGGGCTGAAAAAATATTGTTTCGGCTCGAAAATGTTTTGGCGCAATGTTTCTGGCATCGAATTGTAATTGTTATTTATTTGCGGCTAATATAGCGTTGGCCACAAATTATAATACTAAATTGTTTTAAGTGGTGTGAAAAAGCAAACGTTCGAACTCTTTAAATTTTGAGAAAATAGTGCATATAAATGTTAAACTAACAATTGTTTGGCTATTCAATAATTTAAATGCAATTTGACCCTTACTTGCGTAAATTTTCAAACCTCTTCAAATCGCTTTACCATGGCGAAAATTCAACAGGAAAATATGATGAAATCTACTTAATGAAAAAAATATATATTTATTGTGCGCCAGCATCCCAGCTGCTGTCCATCCGATGGCAATTAAATGCCAATCAGGCATCAAAAGCCGAAGAGTCATGCTAAAAATAATATCCACAAAAAAAAATAGGTTGAGGAAAGCAAAACCAAAATTGTTTAATTTAAAAATACGCTGGCCTGCTCGAATATTAAATGAGAATGCTTTTCCAAGCGACTACTGTAAATAAATACGGCGCCCAGATAATTATAATTATTTTTGCACACTTAATTAGCCATTAAAACGCAAATTGAAAATGAGTCTCACCTTTCCCGACTTTCCCCTCCAATTGCAGTGTGCAATTTAACAGAAATTTTAATAATTATTGCAACAAAGCAATAACCATAACAATAAAAGTAATCACACAATAATGAGTGTCATATGTGCGAGGGAAAATTCGTTTATTCTCTGACCATTTCGGAAAGTACTATACACTGAGGAGGAAGTTGGTGCTCCTTTTATATTTAAAAAAAAATTAAGTGAAGCTATCTCCTCGAATAGATTTATCCGAATTAATTCGTTTAATAAGTTTAAATGTTTTTTACCCCATTTGGGGGGAGGGCGGACATTGACAAGCTCATTACTATTCCATGTACAGGACCAACTTTCATTCCAGAACGCCACTCATTAAGGGCATTAAAAGCCTTCTATGTGGAGTGCCCTCGCCTTTATCCCCTTCGCCATGGCAACTCCATCAATGCGCCGTATATTTTTACAAGCATTTCAGAGTTTTAAAAATGTTCTCGTTCTGCGCTCATTTTATTTTTTGTATGTTGGTCGGTTTGTGAGTTCGGTTCGCGATGGCTCCGCCAGGTTAATCCGCTTTCAGTATTTAAATACGAAAATAATGCTAAAAATGTGAGAATGAAGGGGGTTCAGTGGCTCCTGGTGGGTATGGAAATTGGGGGTGCTTTTGGGAATATCCAGCAACGTTTTCGCCTTTTGTTTTAAGCTGGTAATTTATTTAATGGATGTAAGGATAACCGTCTCTAGCACTATTTTCTCACCTGATCTTGGGCATGTGTGTGTGTGGGAGTGCATGAAATATATGTACGGGAAATCCCAACTAAATTCACATTTTTCCGGTTGGAAAAACACGCACCAGCAGCCAGCAGCTAGCAGCAGGACCAAAAATGCAAATTTCCGCCACGCCATAAATCGCACAAATTTATAACCAAAGTGGGAGAACCACTGGGGTCAGAAATATTGTAATAAACAAGCCGAGTAATAACCGAGTCTGCCTTTTTTCAACTCTGTGTTTGTTTTTATCTGTTCATTTGCAGGTACGTGGGCGAGTATTCCAACATTCCCACGGACTACGCGGAAGTGTCCAGTTTCGGCAAAGCGCCCAGCGAATATGGGCGTCATGGAAATGCCTCGCCTGCCCCATATGCCACCTCCTCGATCGTGAATCCCCACCAGCAGCAGCAACAGCAACAGCAACAGCAGCACCAGCCGCGTTATCAACAGCGACCAGTTCCTGGTTATGGCCTCCAAAGGCCGATGCATCCCCACTACCAGCAGCAGCAGCAGCAACATCAGCAGCAGCAACATCAGGTCCACCAGCAACAGCAACTGCCGCCGGGCAACATCTATCAGCAAATGTCCACAACGAGCGAGATCTATCCCAGTAATTCGGGAGCCCCGCGGTCCGTGTACTCCGAACAGTATTATTACCCCAAGGACAAGCAGCGACACATCCATATTACCGAGAACAAGTTGAGCAACTGTCACACATACGAGGCTGCTCCCGGTGCCAAGCAATCCTCGCCGATATCCTCGCAGTTTGCCAGTGTGAGGCGTCAGCAAATGCCGCCAAATTGCAGTATCGGCAGGGACAGTGCTCGCTTCAAGGTCCTGAACACGGACCAGGGCAAGAATCAGCAGAATCTGCTCGATTTGGATGGCTCCTCCTTGTGCTACAACGGCCTCGCGGATTCCGGCTGCGGTGGGTCACCTTCTCCCATGGCCATGTTGATGTCGCACGAGGATGAGCACGCTCTGTACCACACGGCGGATGGAGATCTGGATGATATGGAGAGACTGTACGTGAAGGTGGACGAGCAACAGCCACCGTTGCAGCAGCAACAGCAGCAGCAGTTGCTACCACTGGTGCCCCAACATCCCGCAGAACTGATGCAACCCTCGCCGCACCTGCAGTCGTGGCGCAACCAGAGCACTCGAGGCAGTCGGAAAAATGGCCAGGAGTCCAACAAGGAGCCCAACGAGCTGATCTATGCCCCCGGCAGTGTGGCCAGCGAGAGGAGCCTGCTCAGCAACTCGGGAAGCGGCAGCAGCAGTCAGCCAGCTTGCCACAATGTCTGACCCCTGCCCGGTGGTTCATCCTTGGGCCAATCTCAATCTCAATCCAAATCCCGATCCCAATCGCAGAGCCAGCTGGAGTCCCCGTCCCAGGAGCAGCTCTATGCCAGGGAGGTGCGGGAGTTGCTCGCCTGGTGCGAACGCTTCAACAACGGGGGAGCTGAGAATTTTGAGTAGATTGGGAAACAGGATATTCGGAAAGGGAGAAGCGAAAGGAAAGGATATTTGCTGGAAAAGGGTTGGAGAGTTAAGAGCTAGAAAGGAGCGACAGTGGAACGAGTGAAGTGACTTTTCCCTTTTTTTTTATTGATAGACGTCCATTACTTAGATTATTATTTTCAGTAATCTCAATTTGATGAAAAGAGGATATACATTTCTTGGGGAAATAAAATGTTTCGCTTATTTTGTTTGATACATATTGCATATTTATTACTTATAAAAAAGGTAAAATCGATCAAATTTAAAAATAGTTTACCATTTGAAGAAGTCACTTGTTCGCTCGTTCCGTTTGCTGCATTTGTCACAAAGCTGATTTAGTGACCAAGACTGAGACTGACAGAGTGCGAGGATTGCATGAGTTTTACTTATAGTTTGATTAGTATTACAAGGTTTCTTTTCGATTTAATGAAAAGCCGAGCTCAGTAAACTTTGAGCCATCGGCCCTATGCTAGTGATAGACATATTATCCCCTTTCTCCATCTCTCCTGCACTATCTAGTATCTCTATCTTTATCTCGCGCTAAACCTCTGACTAAGAAACTGCTTTCGTTACACCGTAGACTAAGGTTAGTTGTAGCAAATCACTGTAAATGTTAATAACAAACGTATGATAAGTTCCTCCAAGTATGCAGACGATGATAGCCAAAACTCTGCTTTAGCTTTAGGATATGTCAACCGATTTAGATAGATCGATTAGGGGCCGCATTTGTTAGCTACTTAAGGGGTTCGTAATTAGGTTAAGCATTCGAAAAGATATCGATTCAATACCCGTGAATGTTTATCCGCTAAGTGTACATATTGTAATACCCTAGCTGTAGGTAATTATACATACGTATATATATGTATCTCTATAAATATCAAATGAAATATTCAATCTAATTATGCAAATGTGAACACAAATGAGTAGACATAACAAATAATATATAAACATAAAGAATTACAGACAAGTGAATAAATTGTGCATATAGTAATTTAAAATGTAATAATCATAGCAGCCCCACACTCCCATTAATTAGTTGTTGTTTAACTACCCTATACATACGTACACACCTACATACATATATAATCCGCATAGTTATAGAAACTGAATTAAAAAAAAGAATACCACCAAGGCATATATACAAAAAAATCCTTCAATTTCGAGCCAAAAAAAACGAAACAAAAAGCATTTTGTTTACTTCTTTGGTTCGCACTAATGAACTGTACTCAAACGCAGACAATTATTTATAGATATATCCAACGATTTGTGCCGAAATCTCGGTTGAGGACGTTCAGCACACACAAGTTCATTTAGCATGTTGTTTATCGCACCCAAAATGATGGTAATTAAGTGCGTTTTGTATGTGTGTCTATGCGTAATTGTAATTATTGATATTGAATACGTATTTACAATGTAGCAATTACAAAAGCGAAAATAAAAAATGCCATAATTATGAAATTAAAACCAACAAAATCATGGGCGAAAGCTTTGTTTTTTTAACTGCTATTTACTGTTTGGCTGTTGTTGATTTTCTTCGGTAAATATTCCACAGCTGGAGTGATGGGAGTTCGATGATTGGGTATCTGTTGTTTTATTACAGTTGAATTTATCTCTTGGAAAGCTCTTTAAAATGTCCTTTAAATATTTATTGTTCGGAGCAGATCGCTAGCGCCTAATTGTGCGCGCATGGGTGTATGGCTGCACCTGCTGCGCTCATTACTTCTCTTTGTTTATCTATTCCTCTCTCTCTTCTTCTTCTGTCGCCTTATCTATGCTAAGCTACATTTTAAGATTATGTATATATACTGAAGTCAATGATTCGATCGGTAGTTGCAGCTCCGACCACAAAAGAAGAAAATATACACAGCATTTAATAATCGACCTATTCGTGCGTTCGTAGTTATTGCTCAAGGGTGGCAAATTTGTTGTTTTCCCCATAAACATTTTGGTGACCCCGACGTGATCTTTTGGTTCGGAGCCTGCAACCCGGTGTTCGTTGTTTAATATCATTTAAACAAATCGCTTTGCTTCGCTGTCGCTTACTGGCATTCGGTCATAAGCACACAAGCAAACTCACATACACACATACCTTGTACATAACAAGCTGAGTGCATATAGCCGGCCGCTGATTTTCGTTTTAATCGCGCTGCTTAACAAAAGCTGTGTTGTGCCAAATATTTTAGAGAAAGGTGGCTCGCGCTTAATCGTCGTTAATAGCGCCTATTGAATATATATATTCTTATGCATATATAGCATAGACGTGCGTGTGCCAAAACTCCGCTGTTTCGAGGCAGGCAATTGCAACAACAACATTGTCGAGGTTCCGTTGCATCTCGGTGACGCTGATTAACCTAAATTTGCGCGGTGAAAACTAAACGGGTTGCTATATACCGAAGCGGTCAGACATTTTCCCTGAATTAAATTTTTTCGCGTGAGAAAATAAAGATGGCTACAGAAAATTCGGTTCAGCATCAAAATGAGCCGCCAAGTGACGTGGACTTCTACCGAGCCAAGGCCCAATCCCTTTTGCGGCAATTGAGCTCGATGAATTACTACATAAATCCGGAGACTGTAGATCAGTTTGATGAAGCTGATTTACTGGCGCGACTGGAGTGGATAAATTCATTAAATTTGGCCTTTGATTCCGCACAGACTTCGCTGGAAAAATTGGACTTTTCGGAGATAGCAAGCGACCATCGGATTGAGTTCTCCACGGCGTTCATGGATGTGAAGGCGAAGATAAATCGAGGTTTAGCGGCGCTTCGCAAGTCTCAATTGCCGGCTGCAACCGCTGCCAATTCAACTTCCATAGACAATTTTAATCATCCGGATCTTTCTTTCCGATCTAGGAAGCCTCGGTTGCCAATTTTGGAGATAGCTCGGTTCCATGGATCCTACTCTGATTGGCCGGATTTTATTGCAACGTTCAGCACGGTCATCGGAAACGACGAAGAGCTAAGCGATATTGAAAAATTGCAATATTTAAGGTCAAGTTTAGGCGGCGTGGCTCTAGAGACCATACGTTCGCTTGAGCCCTCGAATGCCAATTACAAAAAGGCTTTGGACTTACTCAAAAATCGATTTGATAATAAGGTTCTACATTTTCAGGCACACGTGCAGGCAATATTTGGTTTAAAAGGTGTCGAGAAGGGATCAGCCAAGGGTCTTCGGGAGTTAAGCGATTGTATGAATTCGCATCTGCGAGCAATCCGTACCCTGGCCACTACGCAACAAATCTTGGACGGATTGCTGATTCACATCGTCGCACGGAAGCTCGATCAGAGGACGCGGGAAAAATGGGAGGAGGATTTGTCCATCAACAACCTAGCTACGTGGGATTCTATGGAGTCGTTCTTGCAAAGGAGGTGTAGGATTATGGAAAATTCGGATCAAGCCTTGGTAACGCAAACACCAAGCCGGCAGGTGGGAAAAGCCCTGCATGGGTATAGCTTCATTGCTTCAGTTGGTAGCTCAAATCTTCCCCTATGTACGTTTTGTGATGCGAGGGATCATTATTTGCCAAAATGCTCTCGATTTCTAAATTTGAGCCCGAATCTGCGATTTAGAGAAGCAAAGAAGTTGCACCTGTGCCTCAACTGTTTGCGCAAGGGGCATAGTTTGCAGCAATGCAAGTCAACGCACTGCAGATACTGTCATATGAAGCACCACTCATTGTTGCATTTTAATCAGGACCCATCTGTACCATCCACCACCTCATCTCTATCATCCGATCCATTTCCCAACTCTCAGCCAGCATCATCACATTCATCATCGCATTCATCATCGCATTCATCATCGCATTCATCAACGCATTCATCATCGCATTCATCATCGCATTCATCATCCCATTCATCATCGCATTCATCATCGCATTCATCATGCATTCATCATCCCAACCTAATCACCGTTCATCGAACCCTCCACCAAGCCCCACAGATATTTTGCCTGTTGATTACGTGTTGCTTCCAACCGCGATCATATATTTGAGAAACAAGGCTGGAGAATTTGTGCCTTGCCGAGCATTCTTAGACTCGGCTTCTCAACTAAACTTCATAACGTCTCGTCTAGCGAATCAACTTAATTTGAATTGTCGAAAGTCGCATACCCTAGCCGCTGGGATTGGGGAATCCTCTCTGAATTCCGATACGGCAGTCGACATTGTAGCGCAATCCCAGGATGCAAGCTATCGTGCCTCATTCTCCGCGGTTGTGACTGACAGTATCGCTGATTATCAGCCTCATTGTAACATAAATGCCACATCGTGGAAAATTCCGCAAAATATTTCGCTTGCTGATCCTCATTTTAATCGTTCAGAGCGGATTGATCTTATAATTGGTGCTGGACTCTTCTTCAAAATAATGGCTGCTGGACAAATTTATTTGGGTAGCGCGTTGCCAACCCTTCAGAACACCAAACTTGGTTGGATCGTGTCTGGAGGGCTGCCGAGTGCGTCAACTCCTCAGTCTGTCTCAGCTGCCGTCGTCAAGGATCCACAAAATCGCCAAGCTAGCCGTTCTGCCCCACGATGCCGATGAAGTTGGAACAGTACCTTTTCCAACGGGGGGAGTATGTTCGGAGCAGATCGCTAGCGCCTAATTGTGCGCGCATGGGTGTATGGCTGCACCTGCTGCGCTCATTACTTCTCTTTGTTTATCTATTCCTCTCTCTCTTCTTCTTCTGTCGCCTTATCTATGCTAAGCTACATTTTAAGATTATGTATATATACTGAAGTCAATGATTCGATCGGTAGTTGCAGCTCCGACCAGAGAGAAAACGAAAATAAAATACAGCATATAATCGACCTATTCGTGCGTTCGTAGTTATTGCTCAAGGGTGGCAAATTTGTTGTCTTCCCCATAAACATTTATTTTAACAAAATTAATTGAACAAGTTGCTGGTCGGAAGTGGAGCATACTTTAAGGCGTAACCTTTTGCGATTTTAAATCGTTTGTAGTCTTCCCGAATAGCTTTGTTATATT